GAAAGATAGATAGATGCTGATTAGACAGCATGATTATTGCACAGGTGTGCCTTAGGTAGATAGATAGATAGATAGATAGATAGATAGATAGATAGATGCACAGTGTCATTCACACAAATACTAAACATCATGGTAACACACATGATACTGAAATAATGCAATAAACGTTATTTTAACAACATTAGATGTAAGATAAAACCCTAACGTACGCAACTGATAAGAAAAAAAATAATAAGAAACAGTTATTTCAGTGAAAAGAAAACATCAAATGTCATGCAGGGAATTCTGGGAATGTCAATTTACGTTTTTTCACTGTAAATTATACAATTTCTTTCTTTTTCACTTCCAAAAACCGCAGCTTTAACAGTATTTTACTGTAAAATTACATTAAATGTAATTATGCAGTTATTCAGTGTATATAGTAAACTTACTGTTAACCAGGTTTTTACTGTAGCATTTTACAGTCTTTTACTGTTAAAATCACAATCATTTTTTACAGTTAGACAGACAGACTGACTGAAATTGATAGACAGATAGATAGATAGATAGATAGATAGATAGACAGAAAGATAGATAGATAAGATAGATAGATAGATAGATAGATAGATAGATAGAAACCGCATAATCCCCCTAGAGCCTTGCGCTCAGAAAATTATAAACTTCTGGTAGTGCCAACAGGACAAACTGTCATCAGAAAGGCGATCAAGCTTTTGCAGTAATGGGGCCGAGACTGTGGAATAAGTTGCCTCTACATATTAAGTCTGCTAAATCTTTGTCAATGTTTCCGAATCTGCTGAAAGCTCATTTGATGGTGGCAGCCACAGTTGATCTTTACAGTATGTGGTATATGTGTGTGTATGTGGTACAGGCTGTAATATGTGTGGCATATGTAATTTTCTGACTTGCCAATATGTGTAAATTTCTTTACTTTCTTTTTTTCTTAGCCTTTTATTGTAAAGCACTGTGGTTACCGCTGTTTTATTTTTTTAGTAGTGCTATATAAATTAATAAACCAAACCAAACCATGATAGATAGATAGATAGATAGATAGATAGATAGATAGATAGATAGATAGATAGATAGATCATCAATAAATCATGTTGCATGTCTTTGACTGCAAATGAAGTGATTTCTGAGAGGCATACGGCGGACTGCAGGAATGATGTGTTGGTACAGTACGAGATTAAAATGACAGATCAGAAGGCAGGAAAGGCCTGATAATCGCATATAACTGATTATATAGACTAAACAGCATATGCTTTTAAGAATATTCTGATTTTAAATAGCATTTCTGTTGCCAGAAATGTGATTTCTTAATTTCAGTATTCCGCTATTTCGTTATCCATTTCAACTCACCTTGAGAATTGTCAGAGGTTGTGCTAAAATCGGGCACGACGCCTGATCTGTCCGCTTCATTATCAGACATCTGCGATTCTTTCATCTGTGTTTCAACAGAGCAGAGCTTCCTCCGAGCAAATGCGGCCATGTAGCTGGGATTAGACAGGGATGGGGTGGTGGGCTCCGTTGTTGGTGGTTTAATGGTGGCTGCTGGTGCGGCGACATTTATCGGTTTTCTGGCGGACGCGATCGTGGGCGCTGGTGTTAATGCGACAATGCCGAGCCGGTACCCTGGAACCCCGTTCGCGCTCGTATTAGGATGCTCTTCGGCGATTGAACGAGATTTCCTTATTACTAAAGGCAGCGCGTCGTAGGAATGAAGCGCCTCGGATAACCCCATGCACACAAACACGATGAATGGGAAAACCGGGGATGTAAACATCATTAAGGCAAGCCACCACATAATAATAATCTCAACGCTCCATGAAAACCTCCACGAGACGGACTTCGCAAGGCCCCCGTCCTCCAATTTCCATCGGGTTATTCCAAACCAGGTGGTTTCCAAGCCGCCCCGATGTAGCCTACTCCACCATATCCGAGAGAGACCCCCTTTTTCTCAATGGCTCTGAACCGACTGCAAGGTGTTTGATCCGCACCGACCTGTATAGTAGTAGCGATGCGCATAAGAGTGGCATACTCACTGGCCAATCAGAAAGCAGGACGAGACAACCGCTGTAGTGACATGTGTGTTTTTTCTCTGCGCCTGACAGACGGTGAGGTGTCTGATTGGTTAAAATCAGGCGCATCGAAACCTCGCTGGCTGGTTCATGCAGTCAGGCGATCATTCAAATATTTTCATTTTATAGCCTATTGTTGAATCAACCGTGGATAAAAATAAGAAAACACGTTTTCAAATATTTAAGGACTTTCTAAACAACACCTATCATGCTACTTCACTCTGCGTCTCTGTGAGCAATTATTCATTTAGCCTATTATTGCCATTATAGGCGATCTAAAGGTTGTCTAATCGGATTTATATATATATATATATATATATATATATATATATACGCTACACTGAACAACGACTAGTTTAATTATTTTATTTTATTTTATTATTATTATTATATACACATGATTTGATTCTATATTATGACATTTATTTGATTACATTTTGTTTGTTTGTTTGTTTGCTTGCTTTTGAATGTGTATGTATTTTTTTATTTTTTTATTTATTTGTTGAGGTGGTATTTGCAGCTCTCTTGAAATTATGCGGCATCAATTGCTGAGCACTGTCAGTATAGGTTATTATCATCAGCAGCACCATCTTCTGGTTGCGCAAAAGAGTGAGGAACATTTTTGCAGATGTCCTGTGCTGTGACTGTGATGCTTTCCTGAGCCATCAATATTAGCAAGATGGAGCAGTCCAATTGTTCTAATGGATTGTAAAATAGCTTTCAATAACAGATACCTCTTCAAATTACAGTAGGCCCTATAACTGCCAATTTAATAATTGACTATGCTTATTTTTTTCTTTTGCATATGTTCTAGCCTTCTCAATTCAGCATTTGTGTACATATGTAATGAAAATGTTATAAATAAACTAAAATATATAAATAAATAAACTAGTGTGATGGATTTGCTGCTACATGCAGTATCTAAAATCTGACAGAATGATAGCAATGCTTTTATATCCTAGACCTAGTTGCACTAAAAATATACACACTTTTTTAAAAATGATTTTCAAGATGTTATAGTCCTACAACAGACCTTTTTTATGGTTCACCCTTTCCTGCTGTTTTGAGACCTCGTCAAGGTGAAGGCCAACATCCATATGGACATCTCATGGATGTGTGGACGAACACCTGGGGCTCGGGCAGTGAGCTGGGACAATGTACAGGTGGAGACGCATAATAATGATAACCAGAAATTGCTTTTGATATGGGTCTTCTAAATGTTGTAAATAAGAAAAAGGAAACGACAAAACAAAAGGAGATGTATTTACAGTACAGAAATATGCAAATATTTTAACATTGTTACAGAATGTGTTGTTAGGCTCATCTATTTACATCCTTTTCTCCCTTTAAATTTTAGACCAGTAACAAAACACAGACACTATTGAAATTCAATACATGTATATAAAGCACTTACTACGGTGCACACTGATAGGTCTTCAAAATAGAGATTCTCCAAACAAGTTATGAATGTGTAGGAGTGTACTTTTGTCCTTGATCGAAATAACTTTTAATTGATTTTAAATTATTTAGAGCTCAAAGATACTTTCAGTTTTTTTTTTTTTTTTTGTCAGGTTGGGGTTATTATAATAAACAAATTAAAACAGTCCCAAATGGCACTGTAAATATGCACATTGTTAACAGAAACTGCCGAAGGTCATTGCAGTTTCTCAAAATACTGATGTGTAACAGGCCTTGGCCAACAAGTGACAATATATGATGGCAAAAACAGTGCACTGTCGGTGGTGATTACACAACCCATAACAGAATCATTTAAAGGGCATGCACTCTGTGCGGACTGTGCATGGATGCAATCTTAAAGCGATAGTTCACCCAAAAATGAAAATTCTGTCAACTTGTACTCACCCTCAAGTTGTTCCAAACCTGTATGAGTTTCTTTCTTCTGTTGAGCACAAAAGAAGACTGAAGAATGTTGGTGACCAAATAATAGATGGTAGCCACTGACCTCTATAGTAATGAAAAAAAAAATACTATGGAAGTTAATGGCTACCGTCAACTGTTTGGTTCAGGGTTGGAACAAGTGAGGGGTGAGTAAATGATGACAAAATTCTCTCTCTCTCTCTCTCTCTCTCTCTCTCTCTCTCTCTCTCTCTCTCTCTCTCTCTCTCTCTCTCTCTCTCTCTCTCTCTCTCTCTCTCTCTCTCTCTCTCTCTCTCTCTCTCTCTCAAATTCACTCTCTCTCTCTCTCTCTCTCTCTCTCTCTCTCTCTCTTTGGGTGAAATATCCCTCTAAACTGTCAAAAAAAAAAAATAGAGAGAGAAAATGATTGTCATCTTTTATATTCCATCTTAATTATATTCCTATATTGTATTTATTACTGGTATAGGCCTATCTGAGGTTTGTTTGAAATTCTTGTATTGTATCATTGTTTAGAAGAAGAGTAATTTCAACCTGAAAATCCATAAAGATACAGTTAGCTATTCCAGACATTTTATATTTAAAGTGAGTTTGTATTAATTCTCCTACCTTCCATGTGTGGTAGGCTATCTTTTATGTAGGTAATTATAATGAAAGCTTATGTTCAGATGTATATTTAGTACGAAACAAAACAGCAAGCTATTATTCAGGAGTTGCTTTTAAACAAAGTAATTTTTGCGAGAGAAAAAAAAAAAGTTCCTTACAATTAGAATAAGTGAAAGTAAAATCTAATATAGCCTGCAATCAATAATTATTATTTTAATATATCATACGTGTAAATACATTGATGTGACATTATAAACATATTAAAAATATGATGCGTCTAATATATCAATGCGGTACAGGAATACGATACTGTGACCCTTTGCGAGTATGACAGCTTTCGTGATTGACATGAAATCACGCGAACCCGTAGCCACGCCTCCCTCCTGTGGTCGTCCAATCAGCGATGAGCACAATCGCCAAATTGTTCCTTGAACGTCATCAGGAATCTGGTGACTGAAGATTACGTGAAGTTAGTTAGCCAGCTGCTAGCCTCGACAAAAAGATCACACACAGATGTAACGCCTGGAGAAATATTTGCATTAAACGTGATTTCCATTACAATGAACCTCAGTTCTGTCAGAGTGTATGGAGTTTTTACGGTAGGTTTACGCGTGTCTGTTTTGTTGGTTTAGTATAGGAGATGGACGAGAGCTAACATTAGCTAGCTCTGTTTACAATTGATCTGTTATTTATCTGGGCTTTTTATCGGCAGTTTTGGGGTAGATGTTGTCATGCACTGTCGGCATGTGATTGATGAATGGTTCTGGCATCAAGCTTACGTGTCATAATCAAATCCGACACTGGTTAGCTTACTACAATGTAGCATATCAAGCCAAGTAAACAGTCAGTCTCTTTGGCCGTTCAGTCTATTCTAAAACATTGAAACGCATCAGAATTTAGTTTTATGAGTTGATATTAGTAATTAATTTTACTGTATCGCCTATGTCTTGCTTAAAAACAACTCATCTGCTTTTAATAATCCTGCACTAGAGTATCAATAATGTAAGTGTAGTACTATTTTGATATGTCACCTCCACTAACTATATAAACAGGCACAGATGTACACTAGATAGTGATGTGTACTAAGCAGTTCACTCTTAGCATTCAGGTTGGCAGCACAGCACACTAATTTAATTCAGAAAGGCATATGCTGATTAAAAGCCTTGTTTGATTGTATCCTTCTGCTAATGTAATCCTAATTTTCTTCACAGAGTCAAGGCGGCAGAGAGTAACACCAGAATGAGATCTGCATACGCCATGGATATAAGCCGGTCAGCTTTACGAGGACCCTAAAGTGTCTCATTGACAGTTGAAGAGACATTAAAATCATTGCTTCACACACACAGCTAAACGCTACATCTAGACTACAGAGATGTTCGCAAAGTTGAAGAAGAAGCTGGCAGAGGAGGCCGCCACTGCCCCTCGCTCCGGCCGCATCCCTCGCTCCATGAGCAAGGAGTCCATCACGTCTGTGGGCGCAGATTCAGGCGATGACTTTGTGAGTAGACCTTTCTCTGCTTTTGTGTAATTTTCAGTCTCTGGCTTCTTGCGATATCATATCTTCATGCATCGTTTAGACCCATAAAGTTGCTTGGTCTGTTCGAAAAATTCTAGCTGGTGATTATAACCAGGAATACAGTAATCATTCTAGGATTTGATATGATAGAATATCTCGATCATAGTACAATGTTACTGCTTCCTTCATGTTCAATGTGTACTTTTTCAATCGTTAATGTACTGAGTACTTTAATCTACACCAATTCTTCTTTAGTGCAGTTCACTATCGTTCAAAAGTTTGGGGTTGCTAAGATTTTTGGCAAGATCAGGGATGCATTATTTGTTTAAAATACAGTTAATTAAAATAACTTTTCTATTTTAATATGTTAAAATGTAATTTCGTCCTGTGATGGCGAAGCTGAATATTCAGCATCCACTGTACTGTTTATTCTTGGCTTATTCAGAGTTTGGAGTTTGGTCAGAAAGAAGTAATTTTGTGTTATATTTCTCTCAGGCTTGCACTGAATGGTGGCAAATCTTTTTAAATTTTTTGTCAAAAAATCTTATTTAAAATGTTACTACAATATTGTGTCTTGTCATGAGAATATTAATGCAATATTGTAATCATTCAAATGATCCTTTTTCAACTCTAAAATAAGTTCTAACTAAACTAAAACCTTCCAAGTGCACTTTCACTTCTAGGTATCAGTAAAGTGCCAGTTGACACATTTTGATAAGCAGACATAGTAAATACTTTCCTATATCCTATCCATAGTAGTTATTCCTGTTTCAAATGACTGGCATATTTTCAGTATCCCTTCTAGAGAAAGTTATATGACTCTGCACTGACTGTGTTTGCACAGTGCTGCACCTGAACAACCTGGTAGTATGACGAAGTTTATTACTAGAGTGCTGTGCTATGCTTCTCGGGAAGCCAGTGAAATCCAGAGAGTGCTAAATAATATCACATGATTTGACAAACCAGTGTAACCTGACACTCTTGTCCTCTAGCAATTAATGGCAGACACACTCAGGGTTAGGTTCAGGTTGTCTTTCGCCCTAAATAATTAAAGCTGTAGGCTTTAATGGAGTATGAGAGTATCAGTAACAGGTCTAAATCAAAGCCACCCTTATATTGTAGGTGTTTTGATGAGAGACTTTTAGGTACTCTTAGCAATATAAATAAACATCTCTCTTTTGCATTCTGTAGTTCTTATAAAGGATGTGCAATTATATGGGTCATTTCTTTGATATTAGTGTTTTGTGTTTTTCTAATTTATTGGTAGTGGTCAGTATTTTATATTTATGAAAGTTTTTATATTTAGGTAGTATTTGCTGTCATCTAATGCTCATAGTGAATATTTAAAACAAAGCAAATTTAAAAATGAATATCAGTTTGTCATACTGTACAATATTCTTGTTTCCTAAATTCACATTTATTTTAAAATGGTTCATTTTTAAAATGTTTATTTAATTTTTGTTAAACAAAAAACTTATTTGAATATTAATTTACTTTGACTTAATATTAATATTAGCTATTTATCAGTTAATGGCTATAACATTAAAATAGTTAATATTAAAAAATATTATAAATAATATCTAATCAGTAATTAGTATTAAATAATAATATCGATGCATTCCTAGTTTGTTCTATGGTATATTTTTACCTATGATTTATTTTTATATTCATATGTCTCTGTTATTCACTCTTAGGCGTCTGATGGCAGCAGCTCCAGAGATGATGTTTCTTCTCAGATTCAGCGCAGAAACGATCAGATACGAAAGCTGGAGGCCAAACTCTCAGGTATCGCCAACACAATACAGTGAAACTCATGTAAACACAACAAGAGAAAAAGACTGAAAGGAGGAAAAAGATACGAAAGGCCAAAGTGACTGCTTTGCAAAATGTCAGTGGAAAATCAATGAGAAAAGGAAAAGCTAGACTGGAGGCTGTTACGTGTAATTTTTTCTCACCTGCCACTCATATTTGGACACCTTTAAACCCTTTATACATTTTGCGACAATGGAAATGTATAAAGCACATGACATTTGACAGATTTGCCACAAAACGAGTCAGAAATGAATGCAAATGAGTCCACTGTAACGGCCTGGAAAAATCTGCGTAAATAATAGATACCTGGCTCTCGCTGTCAGCCTGCCATGGTATCAATTACATAGCCTGATATAGAAACTCCTTTAACCCTAAATGAGCAGTACTAGATAAGATTATTGCATAATTGACCTGATCAGGGATGATCTATTAGTGTAAAGGTCAAAGGTCAGTCATTATTCAGCCAACATTGTTCTCATCTCAGAAAATCATTCTGTTTTTCCCTCCATATGTTTATCTTCTCAATCACAATTGTTTTATTGCCAAACTTCCACAAGCCGTTCCTCCATCTCCACTATCCAGCGGACCCATACAGCAGCTTGTTTTGCTGTCGTGCATTGGCTATTTTTAAAGTACTGATGTAATCCTGATTTTAAAATCCTAAATATCAGACACGTCGATCAGGGTGGCTCCAATTTGTGTGTGCGAGCAGATCAGGAGGTGCAAGATTCGATCTGTAAATGCCTCACATTACCAGATAATTTGAGGTTGAGACCGAGGTTCTCAGGAAGATTTTTCCTCTGATTCTCAGGAGGGGAAAATCAGGGATAAATCGCCCTAAAACTCCTGTAGTGTGAGCCTGGCTTAAGAAAAGTCTTCTGAAGTCTTTTGCTGCTTTAAACAAAATGTTTGTGAGGGTGACATTTTTTCAGCAAGTGTAAATTGTACCTGTATAGCAACCTAATATAAGACATTTCAACCTAATATAAGACATTTCATTTCAAGTGTTATGAATCTAAAAGCTCAGATCCCATTTCTAGACATTCCCAAAGTAAAAGGAAAAAATACACTGATTATAATCAACTAAAAAAATGGATGCTTGTACTAGCAATCTATTTTACACCTGTACTAACAAGGACATTTGGAAATTACTGGCAATGTTGTTCTTTTTTCCAATAAAGTTTGATTAATAAAACTAAAAAGTTAACCAAATTAATATTTTATGTATTGTTATATAAAGTACTTTACATATGTTGGGTCTAACATTACCATCTGTGGTAACACCTAACCACTGATTTCATGTTATGTCTATCTGTTTTAAAAGAATAGTTCACCCAGAAGTAAAAATTTGCTGAAAATGTACTCATCCTCGTGCCATTCAAGATGTAGAAAAGTCAGTTTCATTCAAAAGATATGGAGAAATTTAGCATTGCATCACTTGCTTACCAGTGGAGTCTCTGCAGTGAATGGGCGCCGTCAAAACAGTTGATTAATACAACACAATAATCAACAAGTAATCCACAGAAGAAAATTTAATTATGGTTTATGGACTGTGTGTTTTGGCCAGAAGCAATGGTTTAAAGTTAAAATGTCTTCACAAGATTGATGGACTGGAGTCGTGTGGATTATTTGTGGATTATTATGCTGTTTTTATCAGCTGTTTGGACTCTCATTCCAACGGCACCCATTCACTGCAGAGGATCCATTGGTGAGCAAGTGATGTAATGCTAAATTTCTCCAAATCTGTTCCGATTAACTAATTTACATCTTGCATGGCCTAAAGGTGAGTCAATTTTCAGCAAGTTTTCATTTTTGGGTGAACTATTAATTTAAAGGTTATAGAAATGTAAAATGTAAAATTTTATTGAATATTTAAAGTGCTTTAACAAAAATATAAGCTGCACATTTCTGCTTTTAAACCCTCCAGATTTCTTTCCTGTTAAACTGTCAATGTAAGTGTATGTAATGTAAACATGTTTGCCTCTTGTTTGCACACGCTGAGGAACGTATTTAAAGTATCATCTGTGAAAACTAAGCGTGCAACACAGATGTAGCCCATAGACACTGTTTTGAAAATTATCTAGAATATTTCTTTAAGATAGCAATAAGACAAAAGATTTAATCTTTCTGATTTAATCTTTCTGTTTTTTGTGTTCAATCAGCATCCATGCGCAAATTTCAGGACCAGAATGAAACTTTCCAGTCCAACAGAGCCAAGATGGCAGAGGGCATGGCCTTAGCATTAGAGAAGAAGGACCAGGAGTGGATGGAAAAGCTAGCTATTCTGGAACAGGTAAAGATGCTTTTTAACATTGGATAAAGATTTGGATAAGGACTGTCGCTCTGACTAGTGTTTTGTAAGTCACTTTCAGTTTAAAAGCATCTGATCAATGGTTATTTCAAACATCAGTGTTAATGACCTATTGTTTTATAATTGTTTTGTCTGCTTTCTCTCAAACAGGAGAAGTTGTCACTGGCAGCCCGGCTAGATGAGATGACGGAGCAGAGTTTAAGTCTGTTCCAGAAGAGAGATGACTTGGATGAGCTGGAGGGCTTTCAGCAGCAGGAACTGGCCAAAGTCAAACACATGGTCAGCACAGTGAACCTTGAGTATTCTTTTATGAGTTGTGCACAGCAATAATATCATTAAAACAGACTTTGAAAAATTACACACCTCACCATCCTCCATATTCCTGCACTCAACAATAATTTTTACTCTAATACATATACAAATTAAAGGAATATTTAATCTAACAGCAAGAAGTGATTGTTCAAGCAGCCTGATCATAAAATTTGTCCTGCAGCTGCTGAGGCGAGAGGAACAACTGAGTCAGCGGGAGAAAGAGCTCAAACTGAGAGGAGAGGAGCTGAACACAGCGAGACTGACCCTGAGCCAAACCCAAGACAAGCTGTATGAGCTGGGAGAGGAACACGAGGAGATGTGCAGGATCAACTCACAGCTACAGGCCCAAAGGTATGTGAAGAGGTACAGAATAATTTGACTTCCTTAAAGGAATAGTTCACACCCTGATTCATCCCTACTACAAAATATTTGGAATGGGATGAAAATGTGATTGGATATTCTTCTTTCTTTCAATAATAATGTCTTGAAGACAAAAATCAAATCCCCAGTTTGTCTCTGTCTCTTTCAGGGATGAGTTGTTGAATGAGAGAACAGATGCTGAAAGGAGGGTTGTGGCTCTGGAGAGGAGAGAGCAGGAGTTACAGCAGCTGATCCAGCAGGTGTCAGAGGATTTCCAGAAGGTGAGCACTTGGCAACTTTCAGCTCATCAGTACAGATGACTCTCGGAAGCCAAGAGGCTCACTTTTGGGAACAGAGCCATTTGAAAGTGTTTTCAGCTCACCTTGCACTTTATAATTTCCTTCACTGTTATACATTTATAACAGTGTTATAGCATTGCTCATGATTATTTTTTGGCTTTTTTTATTAAACCCAAGTACTATATAATTTCCAATATTTCCATGTTATATAATTTTTAATTGTTTTGTTGCAATTTGTGTGCAATAACTTGTTAGTTTTGCTGTGGTATTGAAATTATGGAATTGCAATTGACTACACATTATTTCTGTATTGTTTCTTCTTTGTTTTCCAGGCACAAAGCAGTGCAAAGGCACTCGAGAAATCAATGGAGCAGCTCCAGTCTGAACACAATAAGCTGGAGCTACAGCACGAACAGCACAAGAACAAGGTCTGATTGACTCAACAAAGAATTCATTGAAACTTAAGACTTCACTCGCATTTGCAAATGAAAATTACTGTCTGCAAATGTGCTAAGTTATGCAGGCACACGTGAGTGGCATCCAATGAAAACCTGTAGGCTATATAATTACATCAGAATAAACGCTTCCTAATTATTAGGACATACAAAAACGAACTATATATGCAAATTACATTTGTCTGCTTTCTATAGCTTTTCATTTTATATTTAAGTTGTTCTCAAGAGTATCAAGATAAAAATTATTTTGACAATGCATCTTGAGATACTTGTGTGTTGTTCCCTTCCACTGCACTGCATCTAGCTGTTTTTACTCATTTAAATTGATTAGTCAGGGTTTCTGTTGATTCAGTCTGTCATGTTAACTAATAATATTGCATAAAACAGAGAAAAGTATGTCTTATTTGTGACATATGCAACACTATTTCATGGCCATATCGTTATAACTCTTCATACCATACTGTGATTGGCCAGGTGGCAGTGACAGAGGAGGAGCGAGAGCGTGTAATGGCTGATTTGCAGGAGAAGGCTGCTTCCTTAGAAAGGAGACTAGAAGCGAACTTCTCTCTGGATGAGCACCTACAGGAACTGCTCAAAGAGGTCAGAGGACACAATATACACACCTATCGTCTAACTGCAGTTTCAGTCATCTAAAAACCACCTATTGTGTTTGTGTAGAAGTCTTCATTGGAGCAGAGGTTAGAGGGGGCCAGAGGAGAGTTACTGGAGGAGAGAACAAATCACACCACTGCAGTCACTTCACTGGAGGCCCAGGTAAACCCCAGCATCTAAACTCATGTGCTGATCTACATGATGTTTTTACAGTTGTGATTTCCATGCCTGGAAAACTCTTTCAAGAAATAGTCTTTTTAAAAATTATTTTATATAGTCAAATATTGAAATGTAAAGGTATTTTGTTGACACATTGCCCTCATGCAGCCTGTATGTAAAAAAACAGTAAAAATAGTAATATTGTGAAATATCATTACAATTGTAAAATAACTGTTTTATATTAGAATATTTTTTAAAATGCAATTTATTACTGTGATGCAAGGCTGAATTTTGACACTTTTGATAAATTGAATGCGTCCTTACTCAAAAGTATAATTTTTTTTTTTTTTTAAATACAGAATTTAATAATGAATAAAAATTGTAACTTCACTGTCATAACTTTATTTCTATGACAAAATTCCTGTTTCCCATTCGTTTCCAGATCTCTCGGCAGAACGCCAGCATCACAGATCTGCAGACTCTGGTCAAGCACAAAGACGACTCGTCCAGGGCTTACAGAGAGAGGACAGACGCACAGGTGAGTTAACCCACAGTTAACCCACACGTCACGTGGCTGTGGCTGAATGATCTGAATGACGTGTGTGTTGTGTCAGATATCAGATCTGGAGCAGAGACTGGCTGACTGCACTGAGAAGATGAAGAGTCTGCAACAGCAACTTGAAGACAGTGAAACGCATGCAGAAAAACTGGTACGTGATGTCAGTCAAAGTCTCACCAAACATCCCAATGGCTGGCTCAGTTTGGGTCTCCGTTTGACAGAGACTGACAGACTGTTTTTGCTGAAATGTCGCCCCCTTCTGTCAGATATCAGTCATGACTACTGGGACGCTAGCATTAGACAAGGAAAAGAACTTATGGGGTTTAGAGTTATTAAAAATTGGCTTGTCAGGCAGCTCAGCGACTGGCTGACTCCTTTTAGTTTTGCCTTAGAGTGTTGACCTCTGACCTTTGGTCTCACAGCAGGCAGAGTGGGCAGAGGAGAGAGAGAGACTACAGCAACATGTCTCGACACAGAGACAGAGAGGCTTGGGGAAAACAGCCAGACTGGAGGAGGAACTTCTTACTCTACAGAGAGAGAGAGAAACAGAGGCAAGCAAGCATCAGGACAACCTGGTTTGTGAAACATCACTAGTCTTTCTTTAATTATTATGCACTTAACATGGGAACGTTATTAAAAGTTTATCTGATGTTTGTCTCTTTTTCTCAAGCGGTTACTGGAGGAGGAAAAAGCTTCACTGTTGAAGAGCAAAGCTGAGGTTGACAGCACTGTCGAGAGACTGACCGCAGAACTAGAGCAGTCCAGAGTGAGAATCGTCTGCCACAACTGATTCACTTCACAGATTCACTATGTAGCATACACTACCATTCAAAAGTTTGGGGGCAGTAAGATTTATGTTCACCAAGGCAGCATTTATTTATAAACATTTCTTCTTATTAACCCTGAAAACAGATGTGCTATTTATTTTTATTTTTTTTAAATATTTGAAATTTTTTTGCACTTTTTTGTGAGCTTGAGTTATGTTGCTGACCAGTATAACATTTGTGTGCCATATTTGTCTGTTACAGGCAGAGTTGATCAGTAGACAGACAGTAAGCGTTGAAATTGCCAAAGCTCTGGAGGAAACCAGAAAACAGAGAGAAGAACTCCAACAACAGGTTAATTCACTGACATGTTCAAACAGGCATCCATTTGTTTACTCATGAAGTCATTTTCCTGTGTCAGGAGCTTGATTTATTGCTTGATTTCGATAGGTCGGCAAAATGACAGAGTCTCTCGAGAAGGCGGAACAGGAAGTGGGTCGTCTTTCTCAGGATTTAGGAGCAAAGGAGGAGGAACTAAACACGCTGAAGGAAGGTGAGGCACCAGTTGTGTTTTGGCAGCAGGGGAGCCCCTGTCCACCCCTCAGAAACTGAAACTAAAGTTAAAACCATAAAAAATCCATTATTTGAAGTAAAATAACGTTAACTAAAATAAAATATAAAAACTCTTTATTTCAGTTAGTTTCTAAGGCAGCATTACTTATTTTAATTTAGTTTAACTTGACATACTAAAATAACTAAAACTGAATATATAAAAAAAAATAAAATAAAAATGACAGACAACAAAATTACTAAAACTGAGATGATAATGAAAATGGATAATATAAATATAAAAATTTATTCGAAATGTAAAAAAATAAATAAATACGTATTTATAATTGTATCGCAATATCACTGGTTCAAACCCCTATAAGTAACCTTTATAAAAAATACTGTTTTGGTTATACATTTAATTGTTTTTTTAGATTTTAAATGTACTTTAATGTTTTTATTCATTTATAATTTTTTGAATCATTGCATAATTGTCATTTATTGGAAAAAGCAATACAAAACCAAAAAAAAAAACAGCAGATTTCTTAACACGTTTTTATATTACCAGGCAAATCATATTGATTTTGATATTAAACTTATGATAATGATATTAAGATTCTCAAATCTTAAGAAAACGAAACGGTTCGTTTCATTTTGATTCGGACATGACCAAAAGTAATGTTTTTCGGTGAGTAGGTTGGATTCAGTAACTGCTTTGACTTATTCATTTGATTCAGTGAAAGATTTAAAATGATTTAAACCAGGGGTCACCAGACACGGTCCTGGAGGGCCAGTGTCCTGCACGGTTTAGCTCCAACTCTAATCAAACACACCTGAACCAGCTAATCAAGGTCTTACTAGGTATACTTGGAACTTCTAGGCAGGTGAGTTGAGGCAAGCTGGAGCGAAACTCTGCAGGACACCGGCCCTCCAGGATCAAGTTTGGTGACCCCTGATTTAAACTGTGAGCTGTGAGTCTTTTTAAGCAATGTATTAAAAGAACCTACATCAGAACTTCACCTCTTTGTGAACTGGTCTACATCTGTGATGTTTTTGAGTTCTGCCTGCAAAGTCAATACAATAGGCAGACGTGTTTGGCACTGTAGATTAAATCTGAAACTTTTATGTGCTTCATATTTGTCTGCATTTCTGTCTCTTATTGTGTGTGTCAGAGCTGCGGGCGGTCCGTAGCAGTCTGTCTTCTCTGCAGGCTGAGTGTGAGTCTCGTCGTTTGGAGGCTGAGGAGAGAGAGCGAGAACACAACTCTCAGCTGACTTCACTGCAGCAGGAAGTACTCACAAAAACACAACAACTCTCTTCATACCAATCACGGGTCAGTGTGTGCTTTTACCCACCTGAGCATTGAGCTGCCTGTTGCTGTTAGATACATTGTCTTAGCAATTTAATGTTTTTGTATTTGCATATTTCTCTGTGTTTTTAACAGGTGTCTGATCTGGAGGGTGAGGTGTTGAGTTTAACTGCACAGTCACATGCAGATGAGTGTGATGGTGAGCAGAACGGGACGCTTACTGTAAGTGATCTTGACCAGTTGCAAAAGGTCAATAAAGACCTGGAGCAACAACTGGCCGAAAAGAACAAGGTGAGAGCAAAGAAACCGCTGAAATGAAAGAACATAAGCTTAAAGAAGAGCAGAGATTTTAAAATGATCAACTTGTATTTAAATGTAATAACAAAATTATATGGAGAACATATTTGTTAATGTACTTTTATCATTTCAGTTTTTACTTATTTTACTTTTATAATTATAGAGAACATATTTTAGAAGAATAAATTATTTAAAATAATTACATCAATCAGTTGTATGGAGAAGGTTTTAAAATGTAACAAGAATGTGTCTCTATTAAATTATTTTCTTAATAAATGTGTTATACATGTTATCGTACATTTCAAATACATTTTATAAATAAAAGTCAAGTCGCCCTACATTATTTGAATTTTAATGTGAAAACTGTATATTCTGTTGCACTTGACATTATGGAAGTAAAAATGTTTATAAACAAGAACATTTAGTATCAGAGTAGATTGTTTTGAATATTCAAATTCATACACAATCACTAGTATTTGCACTTAAATATTTGTGTTTTTTCCCCCCCCCAGACAATAAAGCAGCTACAGCAGAGGCTTGCAGAACTCAAGAGGACACTGCAGAAAGAGCTGGTTCGTATGTTTATTCAGAAGCATTAAAGTCCACGTCAGCTGTCAGTAAGCATTTCCTCACAGAGTGCTTGTGCAACAGAAACTGAAGCCAGATCCTGACTCTGAGATGAAGGAGAGACTCCAGGAAGGCAGGCAGGAGAGATCAGCTGATAAGACGGTCTCAGAGACACAGATGCCCGCCACAGCTCCAACCTCAGCTCCAGGACTCCCTCAAACTTCAGGCCCGCCTCCCATCACCTCCAACACCACAGTCACCAACAGTTCAGACCTCACAGACACAAGAGAGATCAACTTTGAGTACCTCAAACACGTGGTGCTGAAGTTCATGTCCTGCAGAGAGGCAGAGGTGAGGGATTGATCGGTATCTGACCTGTTTGCTACACCAGACTGATGTAATTAGTGTTTCTTGCTAAGGTGTCATTATTACTTCTGATCATTCTTGGAGTTAGGTATTAGAGCAGACTCCTAGAAATAAGTATTAACCTTTAGTTTGTATCCTGGCAGACGATTAACTGACCAAGTTGGGGAAAAAACCCATATACTACCATCCAAAAGTTTTGTGTCTGTTAGATGTTTTTCTTTTGTTTTTGTTTTTTTAAATAGATCACCCAGAAATGAAAGTTTGCTAAAAATCTACTCACCCTTGAGCCATCCAAGATGTAACTGAGTTTTTTCAGCTGCAGTGAATGGGTGCCGTCAGAATGAGAGCCCAAACAGCTGATCAAAACATCATAATCCACAAATAATTATGGATTATGGACTGGTATTTTGTCCAGAAGTGATGGTTTAAAGTTAAAATGCCTTAAAGATGAATCTGTTTCTTACAAACACACAGCTTTCACATTACAATACATTAATTGATAGACTGGAGTTGTGTGGATTACTCGTGGTTTATTGAGTTTTTATCAGCTTTGGGCTCTCATTCTGACGGCACCCATTCACTGCAGAGGATCCTTTGGTTAGCAAGTGATGTAATGCTGAATTTCTCCAAATCTGTGCTAATGAAGAAACAAATTTTCAGCAAATTTACATTTATGGGTGAATGCTGTTAATAGTTTTATTCAGCAGGGATGCTGTAAGTTGACAAAAAGTGACAGTAAGGACATTTATAATGTTACAAAAGATTTATATTTAAAATAAACGCTGTTCCTTTGAACTTTCTATTGATCCAAGAATCCTGAAAAAAGCATTACATTTGCAAAAACATATTAAGCACATCCGGTCGTCCTTTGTTGCAGAAGCATTTGATTTATAATGCAGATTACTGGAGCCACGGTGTCCTATAAAAGATTTTCTGGTACATTATTTACCCTAATTCACCTCTTCAATCCAGTTGGTGTGTGCATCACTGATTTTCAAACACTAGAGAGTCCTCTGCTAACTCTTCACTATAGCAGTATAAGTGTTGCTTGTATGAATTCTCCCTTGAGAGGTTACCTCTCTCTGAGTCTCTCTGTCTCTCTCTTCAGGCTTTCCAGCTCATCAGAGCCATTTCTGTACTTCTGCATTTCACAAAAGAAGAAGAGGACATGCTCAAACAGACACTGGAGTACAAGGTGTGTGAGAAACAAACGTATATGCATAAATCTGTAAGTATGATGGAGGTCAGCCTGCGTTCTTCTCTAGCCTCAACACACCCAGCAGTGCTCTCCTCCGCACCCATGAGCTAACTAGGCCACTCTGCTAAGGCAGCTAACAATGTGGGTCAGGATATCTGGCTCACCGCTCTGAATCAAACCGTTAGCACTCAGTGACACGGTCAGGAATAGCAGCTGGCAGGTATTTATAGCTCACCCCAGCAGCAGTGCTGGAAATCTCCGCACATCACTGTGCTACATTACGCTCACCGCTTCAATCCCTGACTGACTTTTCAAAGGTACCCTGTGGCCTATGTGGAGGATTTGTGGAAAAGGTTGATTGTTTTAATACAGAAGTTTAACTTTATTTGAAATGGGGTTAAATGTCACTAGTAATGTACATATCTGTTTTTTTTGTTTGTTTTTTTTAATGATCAGAAAAGCAAAATATGTAGCATTTATTATTTTTCACTTCTCTCTCTCTCTTTGCGCGATCTCAAAAGGGGAATAGTGATTCGTCTTTTCTACTGTAGATTTATAATTTAATTTTAAACATCTTGTAGATTGAAGCTGTTGTGTTAGTACTATTTCTAAAAGCAGGCGGCATAATCATATTAGTTACAGGCCGAAACATGCAAATAATCAGCTATTGGCATCAAAAAGTGGATAATTATTTATTTAAATAGTTAATAATTGTTGTAATAATTCTAAACAATAATAATAATTTTAATTATAATAAACATTCACATTATTATTATTATTATTATTAAATTAATACATTAATAATATTATTGTTATTAATAACAACTATAAATATATTAATGATAATTTACTGAGTGTATTTACTGTTGATTATCAGAAGTATGTGTTCAGTAATCACATTAAACATAATGTACACTACCGTACAGTAAGATTTTTGTATTTGAAAAGTCTCTTAGACTCACCAAGGCTGCAATTAGTTGATCAAAAATACAGTAATATTGTGAAATATTACGATTTAAAATAACTGTTTTGTTTTTTTTGTATATGTTTTTCAAATGTAATTTATTCCTGTGATGCAAAGCTGAATTTTCAGCATCATTACTCCAGTCTTCAGTGTCACATGATCCTTCAGAAATCATTCCAATGTGCTGATTTGCTGCTCAAGAAACATTTCTTATTATTATCAATGTTGATAACAGTTGTGCTGCTGAATAAAATTATTAATTTCTTAAAAAAAACTGTACTGTACTGTAAATATTTTGAAGTGAACAGTAAACAAACAACTTAAGAAATTCCGTAAAGTTTCTATAGCAGTGCATTCCTAGTCACAACATTCTCAAACATTTTATGCACCGACAAAACGAGGTGGCGAGATTTCTGTGTTTGAATGATAGAAGCACTGTTTAAGTCTTAATGTTTTATGTGTGTTTCAGATGTCATGGTTTGGTTCCAAGCCCACACCCAAAGGTATCATACGGCCTTCCATCTCAGGAACCTCTAGTTGGAGCTGAGAGACAAATACTCTGAAAAAAAGTGAAATAGGGAATAGTGAATGATCTCAGTAGAAAACTACTGACGTCTGGAGGGAGCAATTGCCGACTCCGCAGTTTCAGTCTCTGCCTCAACAGTTCCTATGTAGCTCATGCCCTTTAAACAATGGGACACAAAACAACTCTCTCCATTTTTCACTAAAATATTGCAGGGACTGGAAACAAATGCTTTATCAACATCTTTTCGTGACTGGGGAATTTCATCTTTTAAGTAATGGTTAAAAGGCATCATCCGTCTCATTCATATCCTCCGTAGTTTCTACAACTGCTGTTTCCAACATCCTTCAACTGGAAAAGGATGGAAAACGATTCTTATTTTCATTTACTTTTTTTGTAACTCCAATCTGAGCTCCTTGAAATCACTGTTGGGGGAATCATATGCGCTGCTCTATTTCAGTGGTCCTCATATAGACAATAAACGCATGCCCTTTTCCTCCAATACTGGACATCAGTGAAAATCAGGAATGGGATTTCACATACTGTTGTGATTTTGAATATGTGGAAGCATCTTTCTTTAACCTGCCTTGTTTATGTGTAAATTACAGTTACGTACATTCCATACAAGTATTTATATATGAATACCTGTATATAAGTGATGAGGATTTATAAATCAGTGGATACATACCTTAAGGTTTTTTTTTTTGTCATCATACACATGCATTAGTCTCAAAACTGTGATCATATGAGTGTGTATGTATATGCGTGCGAGATTCTTCACTGTGGGCTTGAAACTGTAATATAGAGGCATATATGCACAGACTGAGGAAACAAGCATGCATGCCTTATACCGAATGCTTTGATTGTACTTTGGTTTTGAGTGTATACTGAAGCATTTGAGTACACTTGAAGCCTTAACATTCAAGGCTAACTGCATTTCTATTTCTCTGAGAACATGTCAAAAGAAACGTCTCTCCTTTTTCCCTGTGAAAACAAAGTGGTTTTGAGTCAGAGCCAGTGTTTTGCTGTCAGAACAATGTAATTTTGTGTGTTTTAACACTTCAAGGCCACATCAGCACTAAGGTTAACACTCTGAATGACAGACTCTTCTGGTAAAAATAGCTGAATATCTCTGCGGTATGATTAACGTGTTACCTGTTTTTAGAAAAAGAATCCGAAAGATTTCTGTTTTATGTAAAGACTGATAGAACTCCTATTATGAAGTTTGAATCAGTCGATTCTGAGAATTTGTTTTGCCGTAAATGAAGGTTCTCTGGAAAATGCAGATAAATGGCCTGTGTATGAACCGCTTTCGGAATGAGATTTTTATAGAAAGATCCAAAATGCACTTTTCTACAACTGTATTCATGTTTTGTTTGATGTTATGATACTGTAGCCATCACAGTATCCATTGCATCTGCTTTCAGCAAAATACCACTACATCCTTACTTTGGTTTCACTTCATGGTATGTCAGGAATATCAAAACTTGACAAAAATTAAAATCTTTCTCAGTGACTGTCTGAAGACACATTTGTGCGTCTGTGTGGTTACCAGTGCTGACTAAAGTGCTTTTGTTCAGTGGATCTGAAAGTGATGAGAAAGCATTTCTGAATCATTTGCAGACCAGAACTAACAGAAGATCAATGATCAGACCTTTGTAAGACCAAGTAAAGAAAATGTCAATGACATTTTTTAAATGTAAATGTCTAGGGAGCGCACAATGAGTCGAATTAGCAACACTGCAAAATTTGAAATGACAGCTTCCAACAAATCTACATTACTTTTTAATTGATTCCCCCCCCCCAAAAATTGCTTAAGTTTGAATAGCTCTGCTCCCAAACACTAGAATATGGAAATAATTTTTACTGTACCATCTAATCACCGCAAAAAAAGGGATTCTTAATCAGCATTTTTGTGTTGTTTTCCAGTGCAAATGTCTAAATATTCTGAAATCAAGATCCATTTACTTGAGAAGAAAAGTCTAGTTTCCTCAGAAATTTATTAAAATGAGGCGAGTTTATGATTTCAACAAGAACAAATATCTGCCAATGAGCTTAAAAAAATTCATACCCCATTGGCAGATATTTGTTCTTGTTTTAAACATATACAGTACTCTTTTGTTCAGTTTCTCAGAAAACGACTAAATATCTTAATTTTGCATCTCAAGTAAATGGATCTTGATTTAAGGATTTTTACATATTTGAATTGATGTAAAAATACTAAGGATTTTTCTTCTTTTTTTTTTTTTTTTTGGTGTACTATTAACTTAAGTATACTATTACTTTTCCAAACAACTGGACATAGCAAAACAGGTTAAAAGGTTCCTATAGATGTACAAAATAAAGAACCAGACATGACTGATATGCATATTAGGACATAATTATTATTATTTTTTATTCTAATGAACATATAAACTGAAGAAGTGTCTAAAAAGTATGTCCCTGAGAAGTTTATCAGAGCTGTAACTTATTTTAGTATCACTGAAATACAATTGCAATAATTTTACTAGTTTTTATTAATAGTTAGAATTCATTTTTATTTACAGATTTTCAAGTTTCTGTCATTTGTTTTTTAATTTTTCTATCAGTTTTATTTTTAGTTATTTTAGTACATTAAGATAAACTACATGAAAATGAGAAATGTTAATCAATTAGCTGCAATAAATTTAGATTTTTTAAGTATCACTTTTTTTTTTTTTTTAAAGTATAGTGACCCTGATCTGTCATGTCCACATAGATAAAGAAAAGAAATACACTCTTATTGTTCTTTATTGCACCAGGCACTTCACAATAACCCGACTCGACCCCACACTACGATTTGAACCATAAATCCACCACCTAAATACTATATATTAAACAACATCCTCTTTCTGTACAATAAGAAAAAAAAATGAGAAGTGGAACTAAAGAAATGGAAAAGTACACCAGCTAAGTAAAACAAGCAAATACAACTTTCATATTCATCACAGTATTTCGTGTCCTGAAACTGCTGATCAAGGCTTAGACAGCGAAGTCTCGTCATGAGACTCATCGTCCTTCCGTCGCACAACCGTTCACCTTCATTAGTCGAGAATCGTGTCTTCCGTAATAACATATTGAAGAATCAATCATTTACATTAAATATCATACAGTATCTCTGCTTTTGAGTGAAATAATCGGTTGAGCATGAGTGGTTTCCCCCCGGATAAGGTTGAGTTGTGAGAGAAGAAGCTGTCCGTGTCTAAGAAAGAGAAACAAATCCCGTGGCTAGTTAGCTCTCGATTTCTTTTGGCTTCTCAGACAGATTTTCTCGCAGTCAGCACCCGTACGATGGACCCCAGACCCCCCACAGCGAAAGCCTGAGTAAGAAGACAATAACACAAATAGACTTGTGAGATGAAAAACATACTCCAAGATCAAGTCTCTTTAATCCAAGACCGACCTTTTCGTGCCACTGGAGCAGGATGGCGCTGCTGTTGTCTGAGGGCTTCTCGAAGCCTCTGTAGATGTACTTCATCAGCAGGTCCACTCCGTTCCTGTCCAGAGACTTCACGGCCGGCTCGATATCGCTGCTCTTGAATGCAGTCAGCACTCGTAACACCACCGCCTGTGCCCGCTCCTGAGAGAGGAGGTGGAGAGAGCGCAACAAACAAGTGTAGGAGGTGAAAAAGACAAACACTAATCAAAAAGAGAAAGTCTATATGCACTCGATGGACTGTTTAAACACATAATAACTAGTGATGCACCAAAATATAATTTCAACAAAAATTCTTATATATGTAACAGCAATATTTTTTTATAAACCTAAAACTGTCCCACATCACACGCACTGTGCAACTATTAGACAGGTTCACTATTATTAACGTTCACTCTATGGCTGGCTCAAATCACAGTGATCTGTCTGTCTGTCTAGACACCGGACAGCACTTCTGGACATCATAGGGGCGCTGATGCCTCGGTAGGCAGCTGACTGGGGTTTGAGACACAACCTGTGCGTAAATCATGTATGAGCTACATCTAAACTAGGACAAGGCTGTTTTTGGGTGACCTTAAGAGAGATGAACTTACTCCTGGCATGTTTTACAGAGATGATAAACACGATCCGTCAGTATGATCGATCATGACAGCAGCAGCAGCACTGGTCTGGTCTGAAGGATATTGCCTGATCAGATCGTCCACCTCACACGCGTCCGGTCCCTGCTGCTCGGCCGCCTCGTCCTGGTCGTCCACGAATTTATTCTCGTCGTATTCGTCGATGTCGACTCCCCGGAATCGTGAAGAGAGGGTGTTTTTCGCCATGAGGAGGAGGAGCAGCTTCTGTCAATCATGCGAGTCCGGGAATGTGCGATACTGGGAGCGACCTGCAGCCGCGCGGATGCGAGTGCGTCTCCGCTTCCCTCAGTGCCGAGAGCCGAAGACACGGCGCGCCGTGAGTGGGTTCATCTGTCAGCAGGAAGGTGCGGCTGTTACCTCTCCCCCAGCGAGAGCATCTCCACACATTCCTGCAGAGCGGACAAAAATCCCGACTGGAGCGGAAACGGAATTGCACACCATGGTTACGCTGTCACACGGTGTTTCCGTTTCCTGTGATGCAACGATGGAACCTGCAGCTTATATATTAAGGCAGGGGTGTGCAGAGTTTAGATTCAACCCTGCTTCAGCACACATACCATGTAGTTTTCAAATAAGCCTGAAGGACTGGTGTGTTTAACTAGGGTTGAATCTAAACTCTGCAGGGCTCCGGTCCTCCAGGAACTGAGTTTGACAGCCCTGTTTTAAGGTATGCATATTCTACAACATAAACAACACCAAGAGAAATGCTTATTCGTAATATACAATAAATACTGCTATTTATGTATTTATTTAGGCCTATTATTATCATCATAATTATAGTACATGCTCATATCTTTTTTGTTTTTATGTACAACTTCTCTAATAATATTAATAACTGTACAATATGCATTTTCTATGCAGTGGCCACTGAAATATGTTGTTATTATATATTTTATTATATACACTGTATATTTACATTTGTAAAAGTTCAGGCCACTGAAATATGTTATTATAATGTATTATTCTCTGTTTATCAATAATAATAATCATCAAAATCGTCATTATACATGCTGAAATATATTTTGTTTTCATTTTATGTATATACAACTCTATTAGTTTTATTAACTGCAATATGCTTTTTCAATCCAATTGCCATTGAAATATATCATTATACGACTTTTTAAAGTTGCAAACTGTTTATTTTCCTCCTTATGAAATTTTCGGTCAATCCTAAATATTTTTGAATTTATTCATACTAATTTTCATAAAAATAAATAAAAATCGTTATAGTTTTTTTTTTTACATTAAACATTTTAAATTAACTATTTGACAAACCTATCTGTCCCCAAGCTGTTTGGAAATATAAACTGTTACAAAGTCTGGAGAATTTGTGACAAATACCATTTAAATAATAAAGCGTACCAAGGAACAGTGAGAAAGCTAGACTAAACTAGACTTTATTTATCCTGTAGCTTTGAATGAGTTTTTTCCAAGTCATTGAGATTTAAGGGAGCTTCTTTACCTACCTGGCCAACAGCAGCCAGTGACCACTAGAGGACAGCAGATGTTTTCATATCAATGTTATACATTTCTTCCTAGGAAATATAATGTGTATTACATTTCACAGATGGATGGATCAAAGATCAAACCAGTACACCATCTTGAACAAATTTGTTTTATTTGTTTAAAAAATGTTCAAAACCTTTTCTTCTTTTTCATGCTATTTGACGTTGTAAGACATGTAGCTTGATGACGCCATTCATTGCCTTATAATAAATAATTGGATTCATTAAAACACAAACTTAAAACAAGCAAGTAAACTAATTTGTCAAGTAAATAGAATCTAAAAAAAGATGCTGAACTCACATTTTACTTTGATGAAATAGCATGCAGATCACTGGGAGCGAATGACCCGGTCTGTTCCCATACCATCCATTCCTTTTCATGACAATATAATTACTTTTAGTGTTTTTTTTTTTTTACTTCTACATGTATGTTTTATTGTTTCTTGTGCCTTGCAGCTAAGTAATGTGTATGTACAGGCTTTATCATCAATACCCAGCTAACATCCTCTTTCTCATTTTCTGAGTGCAATGCAAATATTTACTCAGAGTCTGAAGTGGAAGGGAATGCTGGGAGACAGAGACCTCTGGGTATTTCCACACAACCCTGCTGCTTTATATGAGTGTAGTTTTCATTTAATCAGATAATCTACAGCATTGATGAAAGTCTCAAGTTGCAGACACTCTTTGAACATGTTCAGAATCTGAATAATTAATTCAACATATAACAGTAATAGCATATGGATACAATGAAACAGACTAAAAAAGAATGACTAATTTAGAGAAATATATATATATATATATATATATATCACCGAAATGCTGTTCTTTTGAACATTCTATTCATCCAAAAATTCTGAAAAAAAAAAGTATCAGTTTCCACCAAAAATATTAAGCAGCAAAACTGTTTTCAACATTGGTAACAATAAGATGTGTTATAATAATAAAGTGTTTCTTAAGCAGCAAATCAGCTTATTAGAATGATTTCTGAAGCATCATGTGACACTGAAGACTGGAGTAATGATGCTGAAAATTCAGCATTGCAT